GAAGCTGTTAATACAGCCGGTTATATAATCAACATGGTATATGTTAAGCCGGGTACCAAGATGACTCCATACGAAATCTTGAAAGGGAAAACACCCAACCTCAGTTATTTTCATGTGTTTGGGTGTGTGTGCTACATATTGGATGATAAAAATAATCTGGACAAGTTTGATTTAAGATGTGAAGAGGGCATTTTCATGGGGTACTCTACCCACAGTATGGCATACAGAGTCTACAATAAGAATTCGCGGATGATTGTTGAATCCGTAAATGTTCTTTTCGATGATCGAAGTGGTCATGTCCTTGATGTGATAACACAGGAAACTTGTGTGTCCAACACAAAACCTGCAGAAATTTCTGAGGCAGAAACCGACAATACAAGGGAGGAAGAAACTTAAGAGGATGGGTCAAACAAGTTACAAGTGCATCGAAATCACTCAGAAAGTGACATTATTGGGGATCTGACTGAGGGAAGGAGGACTCGTAAAATCCAAATTAATTTCAAGGCTATGGCAAAACTTGCATGCTTCGTATCACTTGTAGAATCGAATGATGTCTGGGGTGCTTTAGAAGATGAATTCTGGGTAGAAGCGTGTCATGAAGAGATGGATCAGTTTGTCAGACATGGTGTATGGGATTTGGTTCCAAGACCACCAAATGTGAACATTGTTGGCACAAAATGGATTTTTAAGAATAAAATCGACGAAGATGGTAACATTGTTCGAAACAAAGCTAGGCTTGTTGTCTAGGGGTACTGTCAAATTGAAGGGGTCGATTTTGACGAGACTTTTGCTCCAGTAGCTCGGTTGGAGTCCATACGTCTGCTGTTTGGAATTGCCTGCAAGTTAAATATCAAGCTATTCCAAATGGATGTAAAAAGTGCTTTCTTGAATAGGATATTTCAGGAGGAAGTATATGTGGCACAACCATAGGGATTTGAGGATCCAAGGCACCCAAATCATGTATACAAACTGAAACGAGCCCTATATGGGTTGAAACAAGCTCCAAGAGCTTGGTATGAAAGGCTGACTGAGTTTCTCATCAAGACCGGATTCAAGAGAGGCGGTGTTGATAAAACCTTGTTTATCCTTGAAGAGAAATCAGACCTCTTGGTGGTTCAAATTTATGTGGATGGTATAATTTTTGGAAGCACCAGATCCGGACTTGTCAGTCAGTTTGTCAAAGACATGACGGATGAATTTGAGATGAACATGTGTGGGAAACTGAACTATTTTCTCGGGCTCCAAGTGAAGCAGCTGGATGAGGGTATAACTGTGTCACAAAGCAAATATGCATGCAACTTGATCACACGGTTTGAAATGCACACCAGCAAATCGAACACCAATGAGCACCTCAGTTAAGCTGTCAGAGGATGAACATGGAAGATAGGATTGATGAGAAGCTATACAGAGAAATGATTGGCAGCCTACTATACCTTACTGCAAGCCGTCCTGACTTGTGCTACAGTGTGGGAGTATGTGCCAGATATCAAGCATCACCACGTGCATCTCACCTTGCGGCTGTGAAACGTATTATCAAATACGTAAAGGGCACGGTAAACCTTGGCCTGTTTTACACAAATGACACTAACTCAAACTTAGATGGATTTTGTGATGCAGATTGGAAAGGGAGTCTTGATGACAGGAGAAGCACATCAGGTGGCTGTTTTTTTCTTGGAAATAATATGGTTTCTTGGTATAGCAAGAAACAAAATTGTGTCACACTGTCCACGGCTGAAGCCGAATATATTGTTGTGGGGAGTTGTTGCACACAACTTTTGTGGATGCAACACATGCTGGATGATTATGGTATGACTTCCGAACCTTTGTTAGTGCATTGTGACAACATGAGTGCAATTAATATCTCTAAAAACCCAGTTCAACATTCACGGACAAAGCATGTTGACATTCGATATCACTTTGTCAGAGAATTGGTTGAGGAAAAACGTGTTGAAATTGTGCATGTAGCCTCAGAGAAACAACTTGCACACATATTCACTAAACCACTTGATCTTAACAATTTTATTCACTTGAGAAAAGCAATTGGTTTATGTGAGTGTTAGCAGGTTCTGGCTTGGGAGGGGATCATATTCAATGCCATGATTCAGTGTCTCGGCATGTGTGCTTTAATCCCCATGTATAGATCACCTCCCAAAAAACCTCTCACTGGCGCAACAAATGGAGGAAATAGCTGCTTCTCATGTCTTTAAGATGCAAGACCTCTCTGGGAGTTTAGACAAGAGGAATCACTGAGCAAAAGAACAGATAAGTTAAAAAGAGAAGAACTATTAAGGCCTGAAGTGAAGGACACTCGAGAAATCAATCAATGCTTAAGATATGAATGGTGGCAAAAAGGGTGCTAAAATGTGATCCCTGAACTGCAGAGAATGTGTCCACGGTTCAGGTAGTAGACCTTATTTGAGCTGAGGTAGATCATTGTTTGCAGAAAGGCAGATCAAAATAGTAGACCTTATTTGAACTAAGATAGATCATTACCTGCAGTTAAGTAGTTTTGAAATTTCTTACATAAAAAAAGGGCTGCAATATTGATTCTCGATCACTGTCCAGATCAGGCAAGAGCTCAGACTGTTTTACCGAGAATATGTTTACAGATCAGGGAGTAAACCATCTTTGAGATGAAGTCAACCACTCTCGGTGCTGCAGATGTATGACTCTTGAAGAAAAAATATGTCCAGTTTTTTGTTTGGCTCAGTACTCTTGTCAGGAGAAGGTGTTCCTGAAGACATGGTAATGCGTAGACTACCTTGGTCTGATTGTGTCAGTGAGTTGATCATTTTCTCAGTAAAAACTCCACCTGCATTGACACTGATGTTGCTCGTTTGTGGTCTTAGTATTAAGTCAGAGAAGGTTAGTATCTTCTATCACAATCTGACTTAATTGATTCAAAGTTGTGGATCTATGAGGTTACGTGTTTTCAATTTTTTTTCATGGGGTACTCACCGATTCTCTGCTCAAACTGGTATCACTGATTGTAGTGTTTAAGTATGTGCTTATGTCAATCGTGAATTAAGCACATAATTAAGACCCTTTGGTTCCTAGTTTAGACCAAAGGGTCTTCCAAAATAGCTAAAGAACTTTGTATCTGTGCGCTTGCACAAATTCCCTAAAGAACAAGTCAGAAACGTTCGATGCATTGTCGGTCTTATGACATGGTATGAAATGTGCCATTTTTGAAAACCTATCTACCAACACAAAGACCGAGTCCCTACCACTTCTAGTCCTAGGCAAACCTAACACAAAGTCCATCGATATGTCGATTCAAGATGCACTAGGGATGGGTAAAGGAGAGTACAGACCTTGGTTTTGACTTTTGAACTTGGCGTACTTACAGGTTGTGCATCGGCTGCAGATCCGTTCCACATCTCTTTTCATGTGTGGCCAGAAAAAGTGTTCAAGAATCACGACCAGAGTCTTAGTCACTCCGAAATGTCCCATAAGACCTTGAACTTCTGACCCATGTACCAAGTCCGTACTGAACCGCGGCCGTGTGGTGGTATAGCCCTTAACCTCATTAAAACCCTACCCTGTAAACCCATTAGGAAAAACCCAGATACAAGGAAAAATAGTATCAACCTCCGGGTACGTGATCTTGTCATCGGTCCTTCCGGAATGTCCAAGGCCGTGTCTGGTTCATGCGCCTCGACCCAATCTTCGACCCGCAGTTCGGCCTCTGGTTTCATGATCGCATCACTTAATTTTCTTATTGAAGCATTAGATCAGGGAAACGAATCATACATTCAGGACTCTTTATCCCTTTTACAACTCTTTGTTGATCCTGAATAGCTAGTACATCTTTAGCTAGTTTCCCACCTAACCTAACCTCTTTCAAAGCACATGCATTCTTGTTTTTCATTGTCCTATATGCAGATATGTGCAAAAACGTCGGAGATAAAGAGGATGAATGCGGTTTTCAGTCAATGAAGACAGAGACCTGCGAATTCACCAGAATGATTCGACAAAGGAGAAAACTTGTTTGCCTGGTACATGTTCGTCCCTTAGACACTCTCTTTCAATAAAAGGTTGTTTTCCCATTCAAAAATAAAAGAAACAAAAAAAAATTCAAAAAAGAAGAGAAAAATAAGAAAGAAAAGGAAATAAAAACCTTAGAGAGACTAGGAGGATCAAATTTTATCCTTGGGGCAGCTTTAGTTCGATTATTTGTAGTTTTAGAGATCATCTTTCTTATTCTCAGAAAATATCTAAGTCTATGGGAACAGCTGTTGTTTTTCGACAAAGGAGGAAAGATTATGCAACAACACATGGCAAGAAGAAGTGGTTGCAAATTGTGGACATCAAAAGGTCCACTCTCTCTTGCGGTTTTGCATAATATTTTGCATCCTCCAGATTTTCAGGTAACCCGAAATACTTTAACTCCACCATTTAAATAGCCCTTAATACCAAACGTTGTATACCCTGAATGGTGTCTTTGATGAGATTTCACTATTGCACTTAATGAATGTAGAGAGTTAGTTGACTGGAATCAAGATTTAGATTGTTTAAGTTTTGCATAACAGAAATGTGAACTAGTATTTTTTGTGTCTTGTTAAGAGTTTTCTAGACGAAGTTGTGATTGTTGTACGATTACATCGTCTTCTGCATAAGCAGCTGTTTGGGAATGATAAGGATACTCAAATCACTATAGTCAACTGGCTTGATAACATTCAGATGAGCTGATTTTGCTAGATCATCTTCGCCAAAGACGACTAAGCTATAAAGTAGCTAAAGTCAATTGTTCACGCAGTCTTGCTCCTTGACTACAATTTTTCTTCAATTTCATTTTCACTTAGCACAGTTTGGAATTGATGTTTTTACTTTGGAGACATCGTTGGGTCATTGTAGCTTTGTTTGACCCTTTAGTGGGTTTGTTGTATCTTTTGTCCTCTATAAAGGCTTCACAGTCCAAACTGATAAAGGTTTCACAATAAAATGCAAACAAAATTTTGGTTTTTGGGAAATGTTTGACTTAATTTTATTTGGTCTAAAGGTTTCTAAAAAAAGTACACTTTTTTTTTTCTTTCTAATCATATAATTGAATATAACTGTTTAAATTCCATATGCAGCTTCCTAAGCACATGCAGGTACAACAACGGTCCGCATATGCACAAACACAATGGAATATGGAGCTATTGTTATTGGCTCTGTTGAGTTTACATGTATCGGCTCCAGAGGAGGTATGTCACCTGTCGAACTAATTTGCAGTGCGTTTCCGTTGAGTAGCATAGTCTGACTGTGTAAATTCCCATCCATTGCTGTCAAATGGTATTCTTCTCTTTGGATTTCACCATTAGAAACCCAAGGCAACTGAGAAATTTCTCTTTTTTGAGACGACTTCCTGTGCTTCGCATGTCTCAGACTGAAAGTGTTATTTAACTCTACTGTTGCCACAACTGTTGTAGTGTTGTCAAGGTTCATCAGTAAAACTGTGATTCCTTTCTGCATGATGAAGTTTTTAAGTTACATCCGTATTCATTTAGAATAATGCTGGTTGAGTTACTATCATTGAAATTGAATTTACCGATTGTCTAGCACAATGTGTGTATGAGCGTATCTTTTTGATTCCAGAAAAGCTTGTGAACAATGCCTTTCTTCCCATAAGTGTTCGCCAGATCAGAGCACTGCAACATAATTAGATCAGATCAGAGCCTTTCTTATAGTTAGTGTTACTTACTATATTTACTGCTCGTCTTCTTCTTCACAAATTCATCTTATGTTACCTGTAATAGTCTGGATTGGGTGTGAAATTAGTAGTATTTAGCAGCCCATAGTTTCCTCCGATCAGAGACTGTCTACAGTATGTTTTTGTATCATATATCGATGCCATTCCAAGCTGGTCCAGGTACCTACCATCAGCCAGCATAATCATTAGAAATGTGTTGAGTATAATGCATGTGATAAGCTTATATATGTGCTGTTATGATATCTACTTCTTACCAGAAACTATACACGAAAGCATTAGAGACAAGATTCCTTCCGCTGTTGTAGGCACCACCAGACTCACCAACCCATGCAACTGCCTTAGTTGAGGAGTTCTTGATTATGTTCTTGAGGCTGCGAAACGTTATTGCCTCTTGGTCCAAGTATGATGGGTTTAAAATCTTTTCTATCAGATGTGTGTCGACTCCTAATCGATCAAAATACAAATTTCTTTCATTCAGGTTATTGCAAGGACGTACAGGATGTGGAACCGAAATAGTTGAGGATTCAGTTTACCTGGACCGAGATTGTAGATGTGGCGAGTAGTAGCATCAAGAGAATTTTCCGTTTTGTTAAAGTATTCTGTGAACCAAGTAGCTTCAAAGAAGCCACCCGGGCCTATCACCAGAGGTATGGGGCTCACATTCTTATAAACCCGGTTGACAATGTTCCGCAGAGCTACGGTGTCTATAGCATACTGATTTGCTGCAACTCTTGCACCCACACCACTTCCACACAGCTCATTGCCTATCTCAAGAAAAAAAAGAAGAAGAAGCAAAACCTGCTTAGAGATGTAAAGAGATTCAATCTGGCTTGTACATGATCTCTTCTCTCTATTGTGTATTTGTGTTGTCAGGAGACTTACCAAGCTCCCAACCGTCGATGGTGTGGTTATTCTGTACTATATACTGGATGAATGATTCAGCATTTGTGTAATCCCAGGCTCCTACAGCTTCGCCGTTAGGTTTTATGGAACGTCCAGAAAGTGCATTCAGCCCGAAGATGACTTTAGCTCTGATTCAAACCACACAAGTAGGTAAGAGACGAGGAAAAAAAGGTAAACAAAGTTGAAAGAAAGACGAGAATCTAAAGGTACCCGGTTTTGCGAAAGAAGGCATTGAGCTCGTTCCATCGGCGCAGAGACAAACATCCTTGTGTATAACCAAAGAGAAGGGAAGAGTTTTGGGTGAAAGGAAGGCAAGGCTGCTTCTGATCTGGTGTCTCATATATTACCAAGTCTTGTAATGTTCCTCCTATTCTTATTTTCAATGGTACAAATGCTGTAATTTTTTTTTTTTCGGAATTATAAATTAAGAGTCAAATTTTGACATAATAACACATTAAAATTATCAGGAATGTGAGGTGGTGATTACCTTTAATTGCATTTTGAAGAATAGTGTTGTTCAGGTCCTGCAAGATGATCAACATAGAAACTTTCATTAGGCTTCATATTTCTCGAAGCAATTGCTAAAAAGACTCCACATTCCATCCATAAATGGTAAAAAAAGGTTATACGAATTTCACAATGTTTTTTTGGGTAAAAGACTTTTATACATAGTGCAATAAGTTAAACTTTATTTGCTAAATGCAGAAATATTCCAGTACGTTGCTGCTATCTGTCACCAACTAAAAATTCAAGAGCACTGTTTTTAATATATATATATCTATATATATATATATTTTTGAACTGACTGTTTCTAATATTGTTTAAAAGGTTTACAAAATGGTAATACATATGACCAAAATCGGAAATGTTTGGTTGGTGCATAATGATAATGGACTCCACATTCTATAAAAAAAAAATAATTCTAAAAATTCTAGGATGTTTTTTGTGTGGGTAAAAGACATTTGCTAAATGCAGAATGCATAAGAAATATTTCAATACATTGCTGCTATCTGTCGCCAACTAAAAATACATATGCAGTGTTTTTTTTAACAAATAATATTCAAGTTGCATTGTTTTCAACGGAAAAAATCTGAAAAATGAAAACAAAAAAATTGTAAAAGAGAGAGAGAAGATAACCAGATTGAGAATCGAAGCATGGTCCCAAGCACAAGTTCCGTAGTCACATTTCTGAGGTGGCCACCAGTCTAAAGTGGCGCAAATGAAGTCTTCGTCTATTGTTCCCACGGCGGCTCTTCCATACACAAGCACCGTTCCTTTTTCTTCTACGACGGAGCTTACGACGGTGTTGTCGGAGAATTGGAACAGGCAAAGAAATAAAACTGTAACCGAGATTTGACGATAACCCATCTTCTCTTCCTTCATTTTATATAAAGGAAATGGGATCTGAGTTGGTGTTTTTATATATGCAAATGGGAAGATGGAGACAGTGCTGTGCTTAGAGCTGCGGTGGCTTAGGCGAACTAAAAAAATGTGATCCTTATAAAAAATTAATATAAAAATATCATCTTAAACATACAAAAAAATAATAATAACCGAAACTATAAAAATTATAAAACATAATTTTTCTTCTTTTCTTACCAAACTCACATAATCGAGTTGTCTAACCACAAATCAGATGGTTATATAACGTATAACCATGAATCGGCTGACAATCCGGTCGAACTTTTAAAAACCAGATAAATCTGGAAATACTAATTAAAAAATTTCAAACCAATTGATCCACTCAAACCCAAATTTTGTTTGAACATTGATTTTTAAACTTAAAAAGATTTTAATTGATACTATATTTTGCGTCCACGCTATGCGTGGATACTTTTAAAAACCAGATAAATCTGGAAATACTAATTAAAATTTTTCAAACCGATTGATCCAGTCAAACCCAAACTTTGTTTGAATATTGGTTTTTAAGCTTAAAAAGAATTTAATTGATATTGCTACTTATATTGAAGAAAAATTATAGGTCTCCTCATTTAGATATGGATGTGGGATTTTTTTAATTATACTTATTTTAAGTTTTTAGTTAAATTTCTTTTTTTAATTTTCCTTTTTTATGTTTGAATATCCATAAAAATAAATATCAATAATACTAGTATATTGGCTTATCTCAAAGGAATAACCCAACAATATTTATCTCATTAACTATATACATGAACTAATTAATAAAATTGTAGCCTTAAACTTTTTTCAATTTTTGGTGGCCTTAGGCTAATGCCTAACTCACAAGACATGAGGCACGGCTCTAGATGGAGACCGTAGTGAAAAAGTGAAATTGTTTATTTAATTATTATATATATTTTTTACTTTCTTTTGGTATTATTATACATTTATTTATTTGGTTTTGTTGTTTGAGACGTTGAGTTGTTACTTGACCTTTAATAAAGTATTACATAGAAAAAGTGATCTCATTAATAAAGTATTTGAGCCAACAATAATATAAAGTATATAATCTACCTGCACAACTTTTATATATTGTTGCTTTTAAGTTACATGAGTATTTTGCTTACATGCAAAGGGTTTCACGGAATCAAACTCTTAATAAAGCCAACATATAAAAAGGAGTTGGTCTAACCACCTCTGATTACGATTAATCTGAAAAAGAAAGTTCTCGCGGGCCTAGTTGTGTGTAGGAACCTCAAAAAAAAAAAAAAGTTCTCGCGGCCTAGTTGTGTGTAGGAACCTCAAATCTCTACGATAAAACAATTAATGAATATAAAGATAGTTGAAAACCAGAAATTAGTAATACAATACTGAATCAGAAAGATGAAAAAAATAATTGCAAAAACAAAACATCTGATCTCTTCCTTTAATCTTGACAATATTCCAGGAATTGACACTGTTTTTGTTTTCTAGTATCATAACATTTACATACAAACAACAAGATAGCATTTTCGATAGAAAAACGTATTTTTGTCTTCTAATAGGTACGATTTAATATTGAGAACTTTGTAAAATTAGCATGCACTTTATTCAAGTTTCATGAATTTTTAAGCATTTTCGCAAAATGCTATTAGAAATTCAAAGATTTGTTAAAATAGTACACTTAGAAAACATAACTGTTAGAATAGTACATTCATAGAGAAAATTGTGAAATCTAATTTTAAGATCAATTACATTTCCTTCCTTTTCTTTCAAAATAATAACACGAATGTCATTATTTTTAAATTTTTTTTTTTTGAGTTTACCTTCCATCTTTTGTAGACAAAAAACATAATCTTCTATTATTTGCAGTTTTTGAAGCAAAATATTAGATGTCACTCTCAACCTCTTTATTTCTTATTTACTCAAAGCTTAAATCGATCCAAGATTGATTACAACCTAGTAAGTTAAGATTAGAATTGCCTAAATTATGCAACAGAAATGAATTGCATATATTGAAAGACGGGAAAGCACCGGTTCTTGTATTTTGGTTAGGTGCAAAACAGAAGTCATCATTGTTCAAATGGATTTTATCTGACGTTAAGTTTCTTGAAATGTATGTTTATAATCTTTCTAAATCTGTCGAGAAGGGGATAAAGTTTTCAGGGATGAAAAGTTATGACTGTAACGTGTTTATGCAACAATTACTTCTTTTTGCATTTGCTGAACTCTTGCCAAGAAATGTTTATGAAATAGTTAGAGGTAAATTAAATAAGTACTACACTTTATGTTATAAATAAATAAATATATATATATATATATATATATTTCTCTTCATAGTTAATGAAGCAATTGGAGGTAAATGAAATCAATGATCGTAAAGAACAACACTTTTCTCCATGGTTGAAAGTGCAAGTAAGTTATATTTATTGCTCTTCATAGTTGAGTGAAGGTTTTTCATATATACTCTGTTTTTCTATCGTTCATCATGGATTTGCCAAGAGAATTGACTCTCGATCAAACATATGCCAAGCGTATCAGCAGAGAGATGGAAGAACTAAGGCAGCAGATGCATTAGATGGTTCTGGCTGTTAATGCAAGGAATGCTGATGCACAAAATCAACTTAGAAGACGAAGGGTTGTGGAAGTCGAGTCATCAAATGAAGAAAGTGGAGGTTTTTCTCAGAGATCTGATTCAAATCATGACGATCGTAGGAGGAGGAGAAGAGACAACCATCCACGACAACAACAACATCGTCGAGAAGAGGAGTTCAAAGTAGATTTTTCTGTTTTTCAAGGTAATCTAAACCCAGATGACTTTCTAGATTGGCTGAGATCTATGGAGAGTGCGTTTGAGTATATTACATAAGACGATGAGAAGAGATTTAAGGTGGCGACCTTGAAGTTGAAGGGTTATGCAAGCCTTTGGTGGGATACTCTTAAGTTGCAGCATGCGAAAGATGGCAAGAACCGTATTAGGTCTTGGGAGAAGCTGAAGAGACTTATGAAGAGGAGATTCTTACCAATGATTACAAACAAGATCTGTACCTGAAGCTAACACACTTGCAGCAAGAGAAGCACACCTTGGAGGAGTATACGAGAGAGTTTGATTTGTTACAATTTTTGTGTGATGTCCAAGAGCCACAAAAGAGGACTATGACATGTTTTGTGCATGGTTTAAATGAGGAAATTGCATCGAAGGTGGAGTTGCAGTCTTTCTGGACTCTTGCGGACGTGAAGAAGCTTGCTATCAAGATTGAGAAGCAGGTGAAGACGGGAAAGAAGCCTTTCACCAGATCTTACAATACTGTTACTTCTTTTAATCCAAAGATAGCGAGTAAAGGTGATGCTAGCAGTAGTACAAAGAAGGAAGAGAAAAAGCCTACTGCGACACCTACCGATCTTAATTGTGAAGAAGAAGTGCTTTAAATGTCAAGGATTTGGGCATTATCAGGATGAATGTCCTAACCGCAGAGTGATGACCTTTCAAGATATTCAAGAGATTGAAGAAGAGTTGAAGCATGATTCTCTTGATTTGGCTGTGGTGGATCAGAACCCTCAAGGTGAAGATCAAGAGGTTGTTGAGAAGCCTGATGATGGTGAACTATTAGTGATTCGAAGGGCTTTGCATTCTGTCCTATTGTTGAAGAGGCACAGCAAGAGAACATATTTCAGACTCGTTGCACTATCTTGGGGAAAGTTTTCAGTCTGATCATTGATAGTGGGAGTTTTACTAATGTGGCATCTAGTACTCTGGTGGAGAAGCTGAGTTTGACTACAATGAAGCACAAGAAACCGTACAAGCTGAAGTGGTTGAATGATGGAAGCAAACTGCAGGTATATAAGCAAGTTCTCATATCTTTTCCTGTTGGAAAGAACTATTAAGATGAGGCGCTCTGTGATGTTATTCCAATGGATGCTTGTCATCTGTTACGTGGGAGGCCTTGGGAGTTTGATAGGAGAGCTATGCATGATAGGTACATGAACACTTATTCTTTTCATAAGGATAAGAAGCATATCATGCTGGCGCCATTAATTACTACTCTGTGTGGAGGAACAAAGCATTTGAAAGAAAAGAGTTATGGGAAAGTCTTTTCTTGGGTGAGTCACGGGTGAACAATTAGTGATTCGAAGGGCTTTGCAATATGTTCCTACTGTTGAAGAGGCACAGTGAGAGAACATATTTCAGACTCGTTGCACTATATTGAGGAACGTTTGCAGTCTGATCATTGATAGTGGGAGTTGTACTAATGTTGCGTCTAGTACTCTGGTGGAGAAGTTGAGTTTGCCTACAATGAAGCACAAGAAACCGTACAAGCTAAAATGGTTGAATGATGGAAGCAAACTGCAGGTCTCTAAGCAAACTCTCATTTCTTTTTCTGTTCGAAAAGACTATCAAGATGAGTGATGGGCCTCAGGGTCGCAGGTCTTTGCAGGCCCGTTGTTTCGGAGTTTTAAATTTATAAAACCCTAATGTCCAAAAGTCCACAGATGTACGTTATAGGACTTAGGGTGTCTATCCACAGGGAAGATGTCTAATCTGTAAAAACTTCAAACTGGGATAAGTAAGCAAAGTCATAAACTCATGGGGGTTTTTGTGTTTTTTTTACGGGAACTAAAACTAATCCTAACCTAATATTTACGAGAAACTAAATGCAATGAAAATGAGTTGCTAAAGAATATCTAAAGAATTGCTTGATCCAAACTAGGGTTCTAAACTCATAGGGGGCAACGCAGACTCCTCCGGTTTACCTTAATCAATGTCTAAGCATCTTGCGACTAGTCTCCGAGCAAAGTGTTTTAATCTATTTCCAGTATCTTCATTGAACTAGAATAGGCACATGTATGGCTAACCAACTCTCGTCACCTTAACCAACTAATCACTTAAATACGACAATTAACTCTCACTCTCATGACATGAATAAGATCATGAAATCACAACTGAATTCGTTTGCTCACATCTTCTCTATAGGTAGCTTTCGACTTCTATAATGACTATGTTCTTCTGAAGCTATATGATCTGATACAACACTCTCGTGACTCTGATCGATCCTAG